CCCCAAAACCCCAAAACCCCAAAACCCCACCCATTGTAATCTGACTAATTCTGTTATTTTAAGGACAAAAATTTTCTAAATAAAATTAATATGCAAGATAGCTTTCAAGTTCATCATTAAGTTTGTCCCTCGGTTGATGTAGCTGTAGCATCCTTTTGCTCCTCTTACTTTTCTTCTGTAGCTGGTTTATCATCTTTTTTTTCATCCTTTTGTGACTTCTTTTGCTCTTTCTTAGCAGCTTTCTTGAGCTCCTTTTTACTAGGTCCTTTTCCTTCTCCCTCTGGTTATGCTTATCCATCTGTGGTTGGCGCACCTGAAGTCTTTTTAATTTCAGCCTTATTAGCACCTTTAGTCTCTTCCTTACCTTTAGCAAGATTTCCAGCATCAAATTGATTTTAAACAACACTTACTGACTTCATCTTTCCGTCTGGAATAAAGTTGAGAGTGAGTTTCTTCTCTCCAAAAGCAATTTAATCAACGAAGAAATAGCCTCTTCTCTCAATTTGGATGATGTCGCCTTTCTTTAAGTGTCTCATACATCCCTCTGCAAGAGCAGTATATTGAACTCTTGAATTAGTATTTACAATTGTCTATACATCATCTCCCTCCTCAATCTTTTTCTTAGTAATAAGATGATCGAACTCAACGAGATCAATTTCAACATTAGTGGACTCATCAGCGCAGATCCAGGTTACAATAGTGACTTTTTTGAAGTTTTGATCCTCCAAATCAAGGGTTCCGTAAAGAGTAATGTTATCATCTGCCTCATCTTTCTTAGTTATCAGTACCTTACCATAATTTCTAAGTGCAATTTTATCTCCAACATTGATGGTCTTTGCATCATCTCTTTCAATATAGCATTGCTTTCCATAAATCATTGCTTTTGAACCTAATTATTCATTCTTAGGATGAAGTGGTACAGATTTTGCTTGAATTTCATCACCAACATTCTCTAAAATAACTCGAACTGAAGTTGATTTAACGATTGCGTTATATCTAGGTGCAACTGGATCAATTATACTCTTGTTTAAAGCCCAAAGTTTATCCCATTCCATCAAATTGGTATTCTTTGATGGGCCTTGCTCAAGCATAAATAGTTTTAAAGCTTCAACAGTTAGACCTCTTCTCATAATTCCTTGAACAGTTGGGAATCTAGGATCATACCAACCCTCAGCATGACCTGCCTCAACAAACCATTTAAGACTTCTCTTAGAAAGAACAGTAGAAACAAGATTCAATCTTGAATAATCATATATAATAACTTTTCTAAGTCCTAACTTTTCTTGAACCCAATCATAGAGAGCATTTCTGTCGTGATACTCAATAGTTCTTAAACAGTGAGTAATATTTTCTAGGGCATCAACAATTGGACAAGCAAAATCATAAGTTGGATAGGCAAGGTACTTTGTGCCAGTTCTGTGATGTGCCTCTCTCTTGATTCTATAGAAGACTGGGTCTCTAAGGCATTTGACAGGGTTTTGCATATTCATCTTTGCTCTCATACACCAATCTGGAACAACTTTTGGTTATTCTGGTTCTTTCTTCTTCTCCTCCTTCTTACCATGACCATGTCCACCTTCTTTCTTTTTCTCTTTTTGTTCCTCTTTCTTTTCCTCAACTTGCTTTGGCTCTTCTTTTAGACCTCTAAGCATGAGATGGAATCTCTTCATGTTTTCCTCTACGGTTGCTTCTCTGTATTTACTCTCAATTCCGGCATCTCTCTCTATTTTCATCTAATCAGCTGGAGTATCGTCAGCATAGGCTAATCCTAGAGTTATCATTTTCTCCATTAACTCCTTAGTAACATCGAAGTAATCAGATGTATAGGTTATCTAATCTGGGGTAATCTCTAAGGTTTTAAGATCTCTAATGATGTTCTCAACAAACTCAATCTTCTCATTCATTGGGTTGGTATCATCGAATCTAAGAATCATTTTTCCCTTGTACATTTTTGAATAATGGTAGTTCAACATAGCTGCCTTAACATGACCAATATGCAAATATCCTGAAGGTTCTGGTGGGAATCTAGTCACAACTTCTCCCTAAAAATATTAAGCAATGCTTGAACCTACCTATTTGGCTCCTTTTAGGACGTTTTTGAATTTTGCATAGATTGGATCTTAGTAATCATTAGCTTAAGCTTGTACTTATGCAGTAGTCTCCATTGAAATTGATAGTCAAAGTATTAATTATTAATAATAAAGATATTCAATACAGCTTATTTATTAAATTTGTGACCACTCATCATCTCTGATTTTAATAATTAAAATTCTTATTATACATTCTTAAATCAATAATGGACGGCAATTTGACTTCCTCTTCCACAACCAATAACTCAAGTGCTTAAGGCTAGAGCTCATCTTACATTAAAAGGTTCTTTTTGTGGAACAAATCATTAGTGCTTTTATTTACTAAAGGTATGATCTTCGGAATAGGCTTCACAGCATTTTTTGATAGTTTAGTTTTTTTGATAAGATATCAAATAAAACTAAGGAAAGCAATGCAAAACTGAGAATTAAAGCACCCAGATATATATAATGAATCCTTTAAGTTGAGTAATAATTGAGAGAGTATATTGTATAAAATATTAACTTGACTTTTTTCATTTAATTCATTTTATGTGTTGATATAATATAAGATATATGTACTTAATTTATAGGTTTATGATTTAAATCAAACGCACTCATTATCTATATACTCTATAACTTTATTATAAAAGGTTTCACCCATTGACATCATTACTTGATTCTTTAACTCCTTTCTATTCGAGAATCTATATTTAAGATTACATCAACTAATAGATCTTACTCATCGAAGAGATTTACGATTTGCTTAATAGATGCTTTGGCTTAAGTTCTTACTTCAACTGCTGCATCACTCATGTATTATCCAATTTATGATAGTATATTCCTTTCATTGTCGCTCAATTTATTAGGGTTTAATTTCTTCTAATGCTGGCTTTACTTAAGTTTGATGATAATAACGCAAAGGCATCTGCAAATCTGGCATCTAATCACAGACGATTTAGAACTTTTCTATTATAGTAGAGCATTAGCCATTTTCTACTCTGAAACAGCTCGGCACATCGAGATTAGAGTTTTCTCTGCCTCTTCAGCCACAAATCCATTTGTGTCTACTGATCTTTTGAGTAAAACTTGGTAAATAATGTCAAGATCCTACTCTATGAGCTGCTTAGGCAGAGACTCAAACATTTCATACATGGTTATCATTGCCTACTTTGATACTGTAGATCTTAGTGAATCTACTAATTTTACAACCTATAAACTCATTCAATTAGAATATGCTTACAAGCTAATTAACTTCATGGAAGGTTTCCATTATCTGTTTAGACAAACCTTAAGTTGATCCTCCCTTACCTCCATATATAATATCTTTAATATGAAACTTGCATGCTCTTCTCAGTATGTTACAAGCTTCGAACTATCTACTCCAATTATCAGATTTTATATCACCTAGAAACATTTTCCATTCTAGATCACAATTGACTAGCGGTTCTAATTCTCCAATAGTTAGATACTATTTAGTGTCTCCATTATTACTTCCATCTCCGAGACTTGTTACAGTCCCTCTCATGAATTTTATACTCTTAGTTGTAAATCCCTAATAAAAATTAAATAAAGCAATCATACAGATCCTGGTTTGTGATGAGATATTTTTGTTGAAAATTGATCGATAGACCCACTTAAGCTTCCATTAGTCTGTTAGAAAAAGCTTGGATCTAATTACAATTTACCAACTTTAATCTGGTTTTATTCAAAGCCACCACTATTCTACATATCAATTGATTCCTTGATAATCTTTTAAGAACCTCTCTAAAGATTTAAAGTTGACTTTTACTCATCTTTAGCAAAAACTGAATTATTCTTCGAAATCGTCCCAAGTTAAGGTAACACCTAATGCGATTGCGAATTGTACCTTTTATTGATTACTGATGTTTAGGTTGTGTTTCCAAAGTTAGATGATTGATCTGAATTATTATCTACATCAGGTCCGCTTTTTTTCTTCAAAAGTTATAATCTATCTGAGACTGATGACATTGTTGTAGTTGTGAAAGGAGAGTGGCTCTTTTCTGTGATTGTTTAGGAATCATACCTATTTGTAATCAGTCGCTTTGGCTAGTGCTTCATTTAAGATATAGTAGATGAAGTTTCGTTATCATAATCGATTGTTTATTATAAGTGAGAAGTAGTAATAGCGTCTTTTTAGCTGAAGTATTCATTTTAAATTAATTTCTTATGGTTTAAAGTGCTCTATGACACAGATCCAACACTGCTTTAGTTAGTTTTACCTGGCGAATGGGTTTGAAGGTGATTGATGTTTGGCAGTATTAACTACTTCTTCTTTTAGCTACTTTCTGGTTTGTCAAATTATGGGATGCTTAGACTATTGACGTTAAGTTGGCCATTTGTATTCCTGCGATAAGACTCTTTAGCAACTCCAAGTTTCTCTTCTAGCTTTGAGTGAAATTGGTTGTTAAACAAGTTCTTTGATTCATTAATTATTTCTTACTGACCAATAAGTGAACCTGATAAAATATGAAGAATGTCAATAATCTTTGGTTGGTGTTTGTGATCGATTTCCCAAACACTATCTAAAGTTTCAACCAGTTTATGATAATCAATATCATCCCTGCCCTTTACTTTTTAAGAAAATGACAGTGTTATATTTAGCAAAGCATCAAGTAAGGAATTCTAAGTGTTGATGTTTGTTTAGTTATTGCAGAAATTTTCGAATAGATTTATAATCATGAAAGCATAGCTTCGTAGCCCAGTCATTTTTTGAATACTTTAGAAATACTATTAGGCCTCTTATCTTATGACTTTATTGTTATCAAGAAGCTTATACGTAATCATATTAGTTAATTTGGCTATATTTACACTTTTAGCCAGTGGCACCTGACTATTTTGCTTTAATATGAAATTTATCATTCTGAGAGTTGCAGCATTAATGCTAGCAAACTGACTCGAATTGTTTTCTTACAAAAAATTAGAGAGAAACTGCAGCATTTCAGATAATTTCATTTGATTTTGGTTTTTAAAGGTGATAAGTGCAGATAGACACTCATCAAATGCCTTTGTCTTATCTTGGACATTATGCTGTTGCAGCATTCTATGATAAATCAATGTGTCCAAAAAGCCAAAAGCTAAGTCTTAAGATTTTTGCTTAGTGTGAACAGCTACAGTTCCCTATTGAACTTTTCTCTCTTCTTTCGAAGGAGTTTCTTTCTTGGGAGTGATGAATTTACTACCATTCTTTACTTAGGAATAAATCGAATCAAATTAGGAAAATCTTTTGGACATTTCACTTATTACTTTTATAGTGCTTTTCTTTAATTCGGCTTCACTTTCATCTGATTCTTGAATGATTTGATAAAGCTATTTTAACAGATCAACAAATTATTAGCAATCTTTGCTAATCACTGATTGATCTAGATTTAGAAGATTCGGTAGGATTAGTATTATACATTACTTGGAGTAAGCATTCTTATTTTTAACGATCCCGAATTCCTTGAACCCTAACAGTATTGGTCTCAGATCCTTGTATTATCTTACATAATTAGCAATACATGATCTCGATATCTTTCTTATTTATCCCTTCTCATGAGCAGTATTTAAAATTAGCCCCTCCATGAGATGTTCATCCATATAGTTTTGCCAGAATTCTTAGGGCAAAGCCTGCATGAATTTTTGAAGAACGTCATTGAGCTTCGTCATTGAGGACTCAAATACAGCTTCATCAATTTAGGAAGCGTTTTATAGTTGAATTTGTCTTAACAACAAAACGAAAATTTTGAGGTGATCTGTGTTCTTTTATAAGGAATTCTTTAATTCCTCGCATGGCACTTCATTAAATCTCATTAAAATGTCATCAAGAATGCTGTCCAAATCCTCACTTTGATTAGCCAAAGAATCTCTCAGTCTTTTATTTTATTCTTATAAGTCAACTTCTCATCTAACACTTTGGGATTTCGATCTCTGTTAGGGAGATTCCAACTGCTTTTGTCCATCTCCTCTCATTTAAGACTATGAATCAGCATAATTAATGGACTAAGATTTATTGCTTAATGTTCCCTGATTTAAATCAGATTTAGACTAAATGACTTCATTCTGACTTGTGAGTAAACTTTTCTAGCTTTTTCTACTGCTAAAAAATGAGTTCATTTATTTATTTTTATATGATTCTTATTAATAAATTTCAAATGTAATTATTATTCTTTCAAGGGGTTTTGGGGTTTTGGGGTTTTGGGG